AGTAACTCTGCTGGCGTTAAGGCCCTCAACTTTTGCCTTTCTCAATCTCTAACTCAAATAGTCAACTTTCCAACTCGTTTTCCAGACAACCCTAATCATTTACCTTCTCTACTCGACTTATGTCTTGTTTTGGATCCTAGTCAGTGCTCGATTTCTCCACATTCACCCTTAGGTACTTCTGATCACGGTTTGATCTCTCTAAAACTATTATCAAATTCTTCTACTTCATCAGAATCCCCCTATCATCGTACCACATACAACTACCTTAAAGCTGACTGGGACTCTTTCCGTGATTTTCTTCGTGATGGCCCTTGGGTAGAAATCTTTCGTCTTGCTGCTGACAAATGTGCTTCTTACATAACTTCGTGGATTCAGGCTGGCATGGAATCTTTTATTCCCTCTCGACGATTCCAGGTCAAGCCTCACTCTTCTCCTTGGTTTTCCTCACATTGCGTTGCAGCAATTTCTAATCGAAACCGTTACTTCCATATCTATCAGCAAAACAATTCTCCAGAAAACAGACATCTGTTCACTATCGCCAGAAACCATTGTAAAAAGGTTTTGTCTGACGCCAAAGCTCGCTATTCCCAGGTCATTAAATCTGGTATCTCATCACAAAAATTAGGCTCTCGAGACTTCTGGAGAATCTTTAACAGTATCAATAATAAGGGCAAATCTGTTATTCCTTCTCTCTTGTATGGTTCAGACTTTGTCACCTCACCTAAAGACAAAGCTGAATTGTTTGCAAAGAACTTTTCATCAATATCATCTCTTGATTCCACTAGTTGCGTTTTACCTGACATAGCCGTCAAACAGGTTGATCCCTTGCTTGACATTCGCATCACTTCAGCTTCTGTATCTAAAGTAATTTCCTGCTTAGACTCTTCAACAGCTTGTGGTCCTGACAACATTCCTGTTGTAGTTTTGCAGAGGTGTTCTCCGGAGCTTTCATCCATACTTTCTAAACTATTTAACAAGTGCTTATCTTGTTAAATAGTTTAGAAAGTTTGGCATGCTGGTCTTCTCCATAAGCTTTCTTCTTATGGTGTAGCTGGTAACGTCTTTAAGATTATTGAGTCCTTTCTTTCCAATCGTAGTATAAAAGTTGTCCTCGATGGACAACACTCTTCTTCACATCCTGTAACTTCAGGGGTTCCTCAAGGTTCAATCCTTGGCCCTATACTATTTTTAATTTACATTAACGATCTTCCAGATATTCTCACATCTAAGGTGGCATTATTCGCTGACGACACTACCATTTACTCTTGTCATGATAAGAAGCCTACACTCTCTGATTGCTTGGAGGGGGTATCTGAGCTTGAAAAGGATCTCACTTCTGCTACAGCATGGGGCTCACAGTGGCTGGTGAACTTTAATTCAGATAAAACTCAATTTTATTCGGCCAATCGTTATCGTAATAATTTAGATCTTCCTATATTTATGAATGGTAATGTACTAGATGAGTCATCTACCATTCATCTTCTAGGATTAACTCTTGCTTCTGATCTTTCTTTTAAACCGTATATTAAATCCATTGCAAAATTAGCATCTGCTAAGGTTGCATCTCTTTATCGAGCTCGACACTTTCTTACTCCAGATTCTATTCTCGATCTCTATAAATCTCAAATCCGTCCCTGTATGGAATACTGTTGCCACATCTGGGGCGGATCTTCTAATGATGCTCTTTCTCTTTTAGACAAGGTGCAAAAACGAATTGTAAACATAGTTGGACCTGCTCTGGCAGCCAATCTCCAACCTTTGTCACATCGTCGTAATGTTGCTTCTCTTTCTCTTTTCTACAAATACTATAATGGGCACTGCTCTAAAGAGCTAGCGTCCCTTGTGCCATCTACTAAAATTCATTCTCGTGTTACTCGCCATTCAATTAAGTCTCATCCTTTTTCTGTGACTGTTCCTAAGTGCTTCAAAAACTCTTATTCTTCTAGTTTTTTTCCTCGAACATCAGTTCTTTGGAATTCGCTTCCTTCATCTTGCTTTCCTGATTCATATAATTTGCAATCTTTTAAGTCATCAGTCAATCGTTATCTTGCTCTACAGATTTAGTCTTTTCTCTTCCAGTAACTTCCAACTCTTATTGTGGTTGCTTGCAGCCTTGTTGGAAGTGAAGATGTTAAATAAAAAAAAAAAAAAACTTATTAGTTATAACTTAAAATTATAAATTTATTTGAGTAAAAAAAAAGCTTAAGTTTTTTGAAAACATTTGATAAAAAAGTTATAAAAGTTCTATAAGCAAGGAAAAAATATTAAATATGTTTTAACGAAAAGAAATCGTTATTTCATCGCTTTAATGTTTTAATGATGCAAAATCATTATGAATGTATATTTTAATTAAATGAATGAAACAATGAGAAAAATGAAAGTTTATAAATGTCTTTCAAATAAATTCTATAAAGTAATTAAAAAAAATTTGACTGTATTAAGTTAAAAATGAAGACAATAACAAAGAAAATACATAAAAGATAAATTTATTCTTTAAAACAAGATCAATAAAAACAAGGTGGAAAAAAAAACACTATCAGATGCGATCAAATAATAAATAAGTATTTAGGAAATCAAAAAAATTTAAAACATTTTTGAGCACGCATAATGGCGCTTGCTAAAAAAATATTTAAGTTTTTTGGGCGCGAAATATTGCGCTGGATAATTTTCTTTATGTCTAGACCTGATATATATATTATATCAGGTCTATATATATATATATATATATATATATATATATATATATATATATATATATATATATATATATATATATATATATATATATATATATATATATTTATAGACCTAATAACTATATAACTACCTGATATAATGAACTAAATCATAAAAGGAACAAGAGGGGTAAAAAAAAAATTATTTTCACGCTAGCTATACGAGAGTAATAAGGTGTAATTAGTATTGATTACATTTATATTAGTATTGATTATATTTAAAGTATTGTCTAACCTTATTATTAAAACTGTTTTTTTTTTTTTTTTTCCGATGGGTAAAACTAGATACAAAAATGTATATATATATATATATATATATATATATATATATATATATATATATATACACACATATATATATATATATATATATATTTATGTAAAGTATATAAAATTTAGGTATATTTATAATAATAATAATAATAATAATAATAATGATAAGCTGCGACGAGAAAGTATTAATATAAGGATTAAACTAGTAACACAAAGTAAATGAGATTTTTTATCTCTTTTAAAAGGGGTAGCAACCCTTTAGCTTTTTGTAGGCTGGTAGATTTTTACTTTTGTTAAAATGTACATTAAGGTACTTTTTGAAGTTAAGATGCAAGCGCCAGGTTAGAGTCCAAGACATGATATGATTTATATCCTTCTGGAGCAAAGCTGGGCTCTCAGGTATCAAGTTGGTGAAAATAACTTTGCCGTTGTCAGTGTATAACTTCATTGGATTGGTAATAAGGTCTTTAATGTCATTGATGTATAAGATGAATAGAAGAAATCGTAGAAAAGATCCTTGGGGGACACCACTGGTGGCTGGTAACCAATCTGGAGTAGTGGAATCCATGACAGCTTGCTGAGTTCTGTTAGAAAAAAGAGAATTTATCCAATTAAGAAGCATATAAGAGATACCATAACCAGAAAGTTTGGGAAGCATAAGATTATGAGGTTTGTCAAATGGTTTTTCATAATCTAGTTATAAAGCATCTACATCCTTTTGCCATTGAGTATGAGATCTGATCGACAGTTTTCAATAAGTTTGTAATGCATGATTTATTTGGCACAAACCCATACTGATTTAGAGATAAAAGATTGTTAGCACATGTGCTAACAATCTTTTATCTCTAAATCAGTATGGGTTTGTGCCAAATAAATCATGCATTACAGACAAAAGATTGTTAGCACATGTGCTAACAATCTTTTATCTCTAAATCAGTATGGGTTTGTGCCAAATAAATCATGCATTACAAACTTATTGAAAACTGTCGATCAGATCTCATACTCAATGGCAAAAAGATGTAGATGCTTTATAACGAGAGAGAGAAAGAGAAAGAGAGAGAGAGGCTTCTCCTAAAATAGTTTACAGGAGCAATTTGCACCTCTCACAAAAGAACAATTTTTTCTCTCAAAATTACAATTATCATTGTAACTATAATAAAAAACATAAAGTCATTTTTATTAAAAAAAATAAATTGGATAATAAACTGCAATGCTTTTTAAAAGGCATGGTTGTTGCAAAAAAAATTTTACATCCAAAGAAGTTTTTAACAACACAATAAATGACGCTTGTTATGTATATATTATAGTAACATTAAAGTTACAAACATGCTTGTAACAAGTTTAAAAGTAATTTTTGTATTTAATAAGCACTTTTTTAAATAAATAAGCAATTTTTTAAATAAATTAAATAGTTTGTGCAAAAACCAAAAGCTCTCATAAAAAAAAGTTTAGAGGAGGAGCTCGCATGGCTTGCCATGTTCATTTTAGGTTTATAAATTTATAAATATTTCTAAATTTTATACTTAAAACATAATACAATTCATATAAATTTATAATAACAAAAATAAAATATGACATTTTAAAATAATTGATAATTTTTCTACTGAATCTGACGATTTAGGATTTCAGATGTCCTACAATATCTATTATAAACTAGAGTATTACTAAAATATTAGTAAAAATAATCCTATGGTTAAATGTTGACATTTTTGTATTATATCTCATATCTGTTATAAATATTTTAAGCTTTAAGCTGTTAAAAATATTTTATTTCTATGGAAATGGAAATTAAATATTTTGTAATGTTTATTAAAGTATTTAATTAATTTGTTAAGTGCCAACTTACAGTTGGTATAATTACAGTTAGTATTGTTGGTAAAATGTGAACTTCAAACTGTAAAATGGTAGTTTTCAAATTTTTTTGTGAAATAAAACATTATATTTTAGGATCTACACACTTACATATTTGACATGAAATATTTTCAATTTTAGTTCTGGGTCGCATCTGTTGTTTAACATAAAGAACAAAAAGCAAACACTTATTGAAGTTTTATATCAACAGGATAAAATACGGTATTGTTATTTTTTAGCAGAGGAAACTGATAAATGTAAAGATTTAGAAGTTGAAAAGGATAAATGGGTACATTTGTTGATTGAACAGTGGAAAGCATCAGACACATTTTACAACACTATTAAAGTAAACTCTGGTATTCGGCAGTATATAACTGATAGAATAAATGGCAGATCCATTACAAACAGTTTTAAAATACAAGACCCAAAAATTAATGATGTGTTAGTTACTTATAATGTTTTGAATGCAGATATCAAAAGTTTTGTAATCTTCAATCCAGGTATTATTATATATATATATATATATATATATTTTAAGACATAATCTCTCATGCAATTTGTTATTTATTATGTATTGTATTAGTTAAAGTCAGCAATGTTTTTAGCAAGTATTAGTCAGTTGTATTAATTAAAGCCAGCAAAGTTTTTAACTTAGATTTTTTTAGATTTAAATTACTTTTAGTCTAACTACTGACTCATTAGTCTTGTTTCTATCATAAGCAAAGTTTTTGAGTCTTTAATTAACAAACATTTAATCTCTCACCTTGAATGTAACAACTTAATTTCTGAACATCAATATGGATTTCAATCTTCTCATTCTACAGCTGATTTGTTACAGTAATAACTGATAGGTTTTATTGTACATTAGAAGATAAGAAGCCAATACTCTCTAATTGCTTGAAAGGTGTATTTGAACTTGAAAAGGATCTTAGATAAAGTTCAATTTTTTTAGCTTATCATTATTGCAACAATCTAGAACTTCCTTTATTTAACTGTAAAGTACTCGATAAGTCATCTACCTTGCGTCTCCTAGGATTAAATCTTACTTCTGATCATTCTTGAACAATATCAAATCCTAAAGCAAAAGATGCAAAATTAATATCTGCTAAGGTTGCATCTCTTTATTGAGCTTGCCACTTTCTTACTCCAGATTCTCTTTATCTCTATAAATTTCAAATCCGCTCTTGTATGAAATACTGTTACCATATCTGGAGTGGATTTTCAAATGATGCAGCCGAACTTTCAACCATTATCACATCGTTGTAGTGTTGCTTCTCTTTTTCTTTTTTCTATAAATACTATAAAGGGCGCTGCTTTAAAGAGCAAGCTTCTTTTGTTCTATCTGCTAAAATTACATCTTTGTATTACAAAATTACAATTACAATTGTAAATTCGATCTTTTCTCTTTCAGTTTTTCTAACTCTAAGAGTGGTTCCTTGCAGTCATGTCAGAAGTCAAGATATTTAAAAAAAATTATATAAATATATATATATATATATATATATATATATATATATATATATATATATATATATATATATATATATATCACGGCTGTTTAGAGTGAGCTTTACGGCTTCTTGTTTTTTTGTGAAAATTTTGACTTAGGGGGTGTTACTAAAACATTTATAACTTTTGAAATATTAGAGATAATTTTGTTTTGTAAAAGGAATAAAAACAACAATAAAATGTTTTATCATACGACATTTAATACAATAGTAAAAAAACTTCTTTTAGTTTATAAAAAACGCAACAAATGATGAACTTAGTTAAATTTTAATAATTTTTGTTACTTTTTATCAAAAAAAAATCAGAAAAATATTTATATATATATATATATATATATATATATATATATATATATATATATATATATGTATATATATATATATGTATATATATATATATATATATATATATATATATATATATATATATATATATATATATATATATATATATATATATATCGATTGACTTTTACCTATCGATTAATATAAAATTACTTAGCAACGCAATAGATCAGCACCTAGTTATAAATCAAGAAGATAGAAAGTTTATTATACATGCAAGTCTTTAATCTTTAACAATGACAATTCTTGGATTAAAAAAAACGGAGAATTATTTTATTTAACTATGGGTTCTTATGATGGTGCAGAAGTATGGGAATATGTGGAAATTTTTATGTTGCACCATCTCTCAATATTACAAAGTCTTCATTTATCAATCAGCTGTAATGTCAATTACAGCTTATAATTTAAAATTTAAATTATAAGCTGTAATTAACTAAATTTATTAACTAATTAATTAAATTATAATAAATTAAAATATATATATATATATATATATATATATATATATATATATATATATATATATATATATATATATATCACGGCTGTTTAGAGTGAGCTTTACGGCTTCTTGTTTTTTTTTGAAAATTTTGACTTAGGGGGTGTTACTAAAACATTTATAACTTTTGAAATATTAGAGATAATTTTGTTTTGTAAAAGGAATAAAAACAACGATAAAATGTTTTATCATACGACATTTAATACAATAGTAAAAAAACTTCTTTTAGTTTATAAAAAACGCATCAAATGATGAACTTGGTTAAATTTTAGTAATTTGTTGTTACTTTTTATCAAAAAAAAATCAGAAAAATATATATATATATATATATATATATATATATATATATATATATATATATATATATATCGATTGACTTTTACCTATCGATTAATATAAAGTTACTTAGCAACGCAATAGATCAGCACCTAGTTATAAATCAAGAAGATAGAAAGTTTATTATACATGCAAGTCTTTAATCTTTAACAATGACAATTCTTGGATTAAAAAAAATGGAGAAGTATTTTATTTAACTATGGGTTCTTATGATGGTGCAGAAGTATGGGAATATGTGGAAATTTTTATGTAGCACCATCTCTCAATATTACAAAGTCTTCATTTATCAATAAGCTGTAATGTTAATTACAGCTTGATTCAACGCTTGACTTAACCCGAAATCTTTTTAAAGCAATTTAATCTTAAGTTTAAAAATGATAAATTTAATAATTCTGTAAGTAGCAGATAATGTAAGTAGCAGAATTATTAATATAGAATTATTAATTTTTAATTATTGAATTATATTTATATAAATTATTAATAATTTTTTAATTTTTAATTATAGAATTAAATCGATAAAAAATAAATTTATTGAAACGTTTTTAAAACAAAGATAAGAACCATAATGAAAAATATATATTGATATATATTGATATATATATATATATATATATATATATATATATATATATATATATATATATATATATATATATATATATATATATATATATATATATATATATATATAGATAGATAGATAGATAGATAGATAGATAGATAGATAGATAGATAGATAGGTAGATAGATAAATAGATTTAATTAAGATTTGAATAATTAAGAGTTTAGAACTTTAGAATAACAAATTTAGCTTGCAAAAAAAAAGTTTTATTTTCAATTATTAAATAAATAATTATAATTTAAAAAATTAAACAAAACAAAACCAAGAATTATGTAACATTCCATTATTTCTAATTATATCTTATCACAGAATTACTAGAAATCAGTTGAATGTTAAAATAAATAAACTATGGGTCAAAACCTATGAAAAGCATGTAAAAAAGGTTTTAAGAAATGTCTGTAAAATCTGATTAAAATCGACAAAAATTAAAATTAAGCATTTTTGCAACTTTTATTTAAATTATTATATTTAGAATTAATAAAATGTTTGTTTTTCTGTTTTTTATTTTAATTGTTTTGTTTACATATTAGGGGTTGCAGCAGCGTACTCCTGGTTTTTTCCCAGTTGCCCTGCAAGCAACTTAAACAGTTTTTTTATTTGTATTTTTTCTTGGGTGAAATTAAAATATAAAAAAATTTTAACATCTGATTACAAAAATACATCTAATTAGGCCAGTGGCCAACATTGACTATTGCTTCATTCCGTTGGACACATCACTTAAATTTCTATATTGAATCAAGCGTTTCTTAGTATAAACATTATAAAAATATAAACTTGCTCCTTTTTTACTCAGCAGTTTTTTCACAATAGATCATTTTACTTTTCTTTATCGTAGTTATTATTTTCTAATGATTTTTCTATCGTTGAAAATTAGTAATTTACAAAACAACAAAAGCAACAGAATGTTATTCAAAACTTTTTAATAAATAATTCCATTAAATATCTTTGTCACGTTTAGTAAAAATATAAACAAACAAAATGGCAGCTATGTCATTAAGAGATAATATTTGTTTAAATCATTTTGACGATATACCGAATAAATACATTAAAAAATACATTTATTCAAGGCATAAGTCAAATAGACTTTGTTACGGACAGGTATCGAACTATTTTCAAACACACCGAGCAACAAAGACGAGCTGAATCTGGTGTCTAAAATGTTACTATATTTGGGCCTGATCAAAAAGTACCGAAACAATAGAAGAAGTTTATGAGTGTTGGCAGCAATAAATAGGAATCGGTTAAGCTTCTCTAGAAAGAATCGAAAGGTTATGCAATAAATGAAGTAGAGATATTTTTTACACATGATGATAGCACGTACTCCTTCAGAGATTTGATTTGTACTGTTTCAGAAATTCGATTTGTAATTGCCCGAACTTCATAGCAACCACGAAGAAGCTGATATTCGGTTATTTTTACATTGTAAGCAAGCTTCAGTTTTATATGCTCATGTTACACTTGCAAGCCCTGATACAGATGTGTTTGTAAGTGCATTATACCATAGTTTGTTCATCTCTGCAATTCTTCATTTTGAAACAAGGTGCGAAAACAAATGACGTATCCTTAATGTGAATAAAATCGCAAAAGAGATTGGTTATGATTGGTGTGATGCAATTATCAGATTCAAATTAAATTGTATAAGTGAAAGCATTATCTTTCTTGCAAAGAATTTATTTCATGCTACTTTATCAAAAATAATATATTAAATTGTGCTGTTTATCTAAACTAATTTTGTATCTGAAATTGTAAATGTTTGAAGTGTTTCTACTTATTACTTAGGTTATGATGCAATGTCTGCTTTTCAAAGGTAAATTATATGTCCTAAAGACGGCAGAAAAGAAAAAAATATATTATATAGGATTCTGAGGTATCAGAATGTCACTAGATGTATCAGATGAGGTTGTCAATGGCATAATGGCATTGTTTCTCGCCTTTATAGTGCAAGTAAAAAAGATGGTGTCAATAAAGCATGACATTACTTGTCTCCCTCTAAATTATGATTCGCTTATTTTACACATTAGGTGTGCCAAGTATGATGCTTACATCTGAAAAAATGCATTAAAAGGTATATTAAATGTTCCTTTGTCTGATGGCTATGGTTGGTCTTTAAATGGAAACCAGGTAAACTTGGTTTGGACAATAATTCTACCTGCACCCGATTTAAAAAGTTTAAACTTGCAAACTAAATGA